AGCATGGCCTCCCGTGTCCTTGTCTCTGGTCTTCCCCGGTCCCTCCCTCCCCTTCCTCCGGGGCCTGGCCCTACCTGCGTCCCCTGTGTCGAGAAGCACCTCCTTGCAGCAGAGAAGAACATCCTCTCTGTAGGTGCTGCTCGTGGCACTCCTCACTCTCCCCTCTTTGAGGGGTGCTCCCCCTCCCCTCTCACCCCCTCCTACGCCTCCGCAGCTGCTGCTCACGACTACCCTGGTGCTGAGGAGGTCGGGGCTGCTTCCGCTCCTAGTGGGAAGCGTCGCAGCGGCAGGGGCGGCAAGGGTGGCAGGGCAGGTGGAGGCGGCGGGGGAGGTGGCGGTGGTGCAGGCGGCGGGGGCGGTGGAGGTGGTGGGGGTGGTCGTGGGGGTGGAGGGGGTGGAGGTGGTGGTGGGGGCGGCGGAGGCACTGGGGGCGGTGGAGGGGCTAGCAGCAGCGGTGGGGGAGGAGGGAGCGGTGGTGGCAGTGGTGGTCAGGGCCAGCAGCAGCCGCAGCAGCAGCAGCAGCAGCGTCAGCGCCAGACCCCCACTTCCCAGCAGCTTCTTGACTGGTATGCCGGGCGTGGGGCTTCTGGGGGTCCTGGTCGCTGCCCCTATATCATCCACACAGGTCCCCGCGCTGGTCGCCAGTGCACAGGGTTTCACACTGAGCAGCGCTGCTTCGCTCGACTTAGCGACGCCTGGCGCGCCAAGTTTCCTGATGCTACTGAGTTCCCCAACTGGGCAGACTTGCTTAGGCGTGATGTACCAATCTTTGATCTAGACTATGAGGCTATTCTAGCTACTATGTATGCATTGTCTGTTAGTGCTGAGGGTGACTGCTACTTGTGTGTGCCGCCGGATCCTGGTATAGCCCCTGGTATAGCCCCTGCAGCACTAGGTGCTTGTGAGTCTGCTCCCCTTGGTACTGCGCCTGCAGAGGCCTTGCACACCTTTACACTTGACTCTGGTGCTTCCCGCTGTTTCTTTCGCGACAGTACCACAGTCACTCCCCTTCCTGCACCTGTTCCTGTCTCACTGGCTGACCCCTCTGGGGGCCTTGTGCTTGCACGGTCCTCCACTGTGCTTCCGTGTCCAGCGGTCCCGTCTGGTGAGCTGTTTGGTCTCCACCTCCCCTCGTTCTCTACGAACTTGGTGAGCAACGATGTCCTCCAGGATGCGGGTGTTGACACCTTCACCCCTGGCCGACAGCGTGTGGCGATTTGCACGTGCTCCCAGACCGGCCGCCACCTGGCCACGTTCACCCGTGCGCCAGGGTCCAGTCTGTACACCCTCACCACTGAGTCCCGCTTCACCCCTTTGTCTCCCCAGCTGCACACGTCTGCTCAGGTAGCTACCCAGTGTGAGTGTTGTCGGCTGTCTCACGACACCCTCCTGTGGCACCACCGCCTGGGACACCCCTCCCTGCCTTGCCTTTGTAGCATGCACTCTCGCTTTCTGGTTTCCGGTCTTCCCAGGTCTCTGCCTGCCCTCCCTCCCTCGCCTGCGCCGCCCTGCATTCCTTGCATCGAGGGGCGGCAGCGCGCAGCTCCTCACTCCTCCTCGTTCCCTCCCACAGAGGCTCCACTGCAGACTCTCCACCTGGACGTGTGGGGCCCAGCCCGCGTCCGTGGACAGGGCCACGAGCGGTACTTCCTGCTGGTTGTCGACGACTACACGCGCTACACCACAGTCTTCCCCTTGCAGCGCAAGGGGGATGTCCCTGATGTTTTGATCCCCTGGATCCGCGCTACTCGTCTCCAGCTCCGCGAGCGGTTCCAGTCGGACTTTACTGTCCTGCGTCTGTACTCTGACAGAGGTGGTGAGTTCTCCTCAGACCTCTTGGCCGCCTTCTGTGCGGAGCACGGCATCCGCCAGACTTTCACGCTTCCGGCCTCTCCGCAGCAGAATGGGGTTGCTGAGCGCCGCATTGGCTTAGTCATGGAGGTCGCTCGTACCTCCATGATCCATGCGGCTGCCCCCCATTTTCTGTGGCCGTTTGCGGTCAGGTACGCTGCGCATCAGCTCAACCTTTGGCCCCGTGCCTCCTTACCGGAGACCTCGCCCACACTGCAGTGGACGGGGAAGGTTGGTGACGCGTCGCGTTTCCGGGTCTGGGTTGCTCGTGCCTTTGTTCGCGATACCACCGCGGACAAGCTCTCCCCTCGCGCCATTCCTTGCGTCTTCCTTGGCTTCGTCCCTGACGCGCCTGGTTGGCAGTTTTACGACCCCGCCTAGCGCCGTGTCTTTGTGTCCCAGGACGTCACCTTTGACGAGTCAGTCCCCTTTTACCGCCTCTTCCCCTACCGCACTGCTCCTCGCCCTCTCCCGCCGCTCTTTCTTACCCCAGGTCCTCCCCAGGTAGACCCCCTCCCCGCGCCAGGTCCTGCTCCTTTAGGTGTTTCTCAGGTAGACCCTCCACTCCCTGCGCCTGTTGAGGTCACTGGTGACTTCGGTCCTGCTGGTGGTGGTGCTGTCCCTGAGGGTGCGGAGCTTGGGGGTTTGTAGCGTGGCGGTGCTGAGTCTGGGGGCATTGGGCGTGAGGGGCCTGAGGGTACGGAGCCTGGGGGTGCTGAGCCTGCGCGTGAGGAGCCTGGAGGTCCTGCGTCTGGGGGTGCTGCGTCTGGGGGTGCTGAGTTTGGGGGTGCTGAGCCTGCGTGTGCGGAGCCTGGGGGTGCTGAGTCTGGGAGTGAGTCGCGTGAGGGTCCTGAGACTGCTGTTACGCGGTCTCCTTGGAGTAGCCGTCTTCGTCCGCGTTTGCCTCTCACCTCCCAACAGCTGCACGACTGGTACGGTCGCCGTCAGCGTCGCGCTTCTGCACCTCAGGGCTCTACTGCTGGGGGTTCTCCTGCTGGCGTCCTTGGAGCTGGGAGTGGTACTGGTCCTTTGCCTGCTGGAGGTGTTAGTGTCGCTGGTCCCGGAGGTGCTCGTACTGGGAGTGCTGGAGCTGCTGGGGCTGACGGTGGCGTGTCTGAGGGTGCTGCTGCTGGTGGCACTGCGGTTGGAGACCCTAGGACTGGAGGTGCCAGTTCTGGGGGTGCTGCACCAGGTTGGACTGGTGCTGAGGCTTCTGGAGGTGCTGGGGCTGCTGAGGTTACTTGGACTACTGGAGGAGCTAGAGCTACTGGGGGTACTGGAGCTGCTGAGGGTGCTGGAGGTGCTGGAGCTGCTGAAGGTGCTGGAGCTGCTGGAGGCGCTGGAGTTGCTGAGGGTGCTGGAGCTACTGGTGCTGGTGGCACTGCACAGCCGCGCCTGTTCTTTGCTCCGCCGTCTCCGTTGTCTCTGCCCCAGCCTGGCTCCGTGCTTCGCCAGGTTCTTAGCCCCCCGTCGACTGCTGACCCGTCGCTGTTTTTGCGCACCGACACTTCGCTCCCGCCGTTCTACATTCTAGTGTACGTCGACGACTTGGTCTTTGCCACTGCTGACACTGAGGCGCTCGCCCTGGTGAAGTCGGAACTGCAGAAGAGACACACGTGCACAGACCTGGGTGAGCTGCGCAGCTACCTTGCTCGAGAGCTGCAGCAGCGTGGCCAGCTTCGTCTTGCTTACGTGGCCACTCGGGCCAACACTGCTGATATATTCACCAAGGCGCTTCCGCCTGGTGATCATCAGCGTTTCTGCACCTTGTTAGGCCTAGTGCCCACACTTCCTCACTTGCTGTAGGCTTTGTTTGTACTGTGATCTATATATATATATATATATTTATATCTCTGCATGTGAACTGGCCTTGTGGTCTTTTGCTTGTGCTCAGACTGTGTGGTGACGTTGTGATCCACCCTGAGTTGTGTCTTGTTTCTTCTCTTGACTGGTCTTGTGACCGTTGCTTGCTCTGGCTATCCCCCATTGCGCCTATCGGGGTGTGTCAAATTATATATATATGATTGTTTAGGTTATCTAGGCTGTATGGGGGCTAGTACTAGGGGGTACAGAAACTTTCTCGACACCCTAGTCTTGTACCCTAGCCTTCACCTAATTCACTCATGACTGCCTTAGGTTCTTAACACGATATATTTTGTCAGACCAAACCTGAAGACTGGTTTCCCTTGGTCGAGCGTATTGCTGAATCCAAAGACATCTATTGATCCCGCGGCTCCCATATCAACAACTTGGAAAGCAGCTTAACGACTTCATCAGTTTCTCCATTACGGCCAGGGATGTCAAAATTTAGTACGTACATTATAGGGGAGTTCTTGGTGGTAGAATCCCAACCACTACGCCCAGGCACTATTGTGGTAAAATGACTTGTTGATTAGGGTGTGAGTGCGCCCATGACCACCCAGACTTTGCACATATAACCCTTTCCTAGGATAAATCGGGGATATGCTGTGCAGATCTTTTGACACCCCCCCTCATTGAGATGCCTAGGGCATGGCACTGCGGCAGCGACGCCCACGCCACCTCTGGTGGGGATTCAAACCCACGACCTTCGCTCTGAAAAGATGTCCGAAAATTATATGAACAGAATGGCTAGCAGAAGGTCATATAGCTGCCATATCAACAAAGTTGTACTCCCTAAAGAATACCTCAAGCTAACTAACCTAGTCTACCAAACATACAAACAAATAGGTTGACACATGGCCCAGGTAGCATGAAGCTGGGTGGTCGAGTGAAGCAGCATTAAGCAAAGTTAAGTGAAGTTTGAGAGTGGAGCAGGTAATAAGGTCATCTCAGAGTTCGGCAAAGTAGTCATGAGCTGTGGAGCAGAGAGCACCGGAATCGAAAAGTAGTCTGCATGCTTTCACCTTTTTTTTCTCGTTAGATGTGACATTGATGTAAGCTGTTTGAGGAGTTGATCGGTCAATGGTTGGACTGGAAGAACTTGGGCTTGGTGCCTCCCAAATGTAGTTTTGAATGCACCTCCCAAACAATTTGATGTTTAAACTTGAACCTGAGTGGTTTTAGGAATACTATGGAGCTTTCGACGTATATACAAAGATTGCAGCAGAAAACTAAAAATATGTGCACAGGCCACTTTACTGTTGACAATCACGGCAAAATGGGAGACCTTACCACGAGGCGCACTGGCACAGAATGGCCATGTTGGTCAGACCATGTGATGGTTCCAAACCTAAAAGCTTCCAAAGGCAACAACCTAGTGATAGCGACCCTAAACACCCTAGATTTTCCAGGATTGATTGTGATCTTCTTTGGCCAAACTTTCACGTTAAAGCCAGGTGGAGGGTCCACCTTCGCTTTATAAGTGGATTGCAAGTTGTAGACGTTTTTCACTCGCCTGTACACTAGTGTAACGCCGTGCAGTCGAGTTACTGCTATCGAGGCGCGGTTGAGGTTCCAAGGGAAAATCGGATGCGCCTTTCCCATGCGCCAGAATCGCTTCTTCGTTCTTATCGGGTCCCTCATCATAAGGAAATTCACGAAGTGCTTGTGCGCCGCATGAAACGTGAGCCCAGGGTCCAAGACACGCGTGGGATCCACGTGGCCTCCTCCATAGTCCCACGCATTCGCCTTCTTTCCATTTGCCCGTTGAATCAACTGCCCGTTTTCATTCCTCGTATATGCCGTCGTGGTTATCGCGGAAATCACCTGCGAGGGGGACCAGCTCGGCTTGTTCTGCACGATCAGCGCCATGATCCCCGCCAAATGCGGCGTCGACATTGACGTCCCGGAGTAGTAGTTAAACTCGGGCGGGTCGGTCGCAGCAGTCTCGAGCGACTTACCCGGAGCCGCGGCCCATAGCTGGTAACCAGGCCCAATGACGTCCGGTTTAAGGATGTCATTAGTGGGGAAGTCGCGCATGAGTAGCGCAGGAGGGTAGAGCGGGCTACGTGGGGGACCGGTTGAGGAGAAGTAAGCGAGCTGAGGGGCGTTGGAGGAGTGGGAGACGGTGAAAGCGGACAGCGTGGCTGTGGGGCTGCATTGACATGAAGGGGAGGAGAGAGGGCAGGGGGAAGGGGGAAGGGGGAAGTGGAAGTAAGCGAGCTGGGGGGCGGTGAAGTAGAGGGAGACCGTGGAAGTGGAGAGTGTTGCCGTGGGGGCTGCTTTGACATGAAGGGGAGGGGGGGGAACGGGGAAGTGGGAAATTGGAAGGGGAAGGAGGAAGGAGGAAGGGGGGAGGGGGGGGAGGGGACGAGGAATGGGGGAAAGGGGAGGAGAAAGGGAGATGGAAGGGAAAAGAGGGAAAGCGGAAGGGAATGAGAAGTGGTTGTGTATGGGGGAGTGGATGGATGGGATAAAGATAGGGATGCGATGATGGAAGAGAAGAGGGAAGAGTGGAGAGAAGAGAGGAGGGGCAGTGGAGAAGAGGGGGAAAGGGAAGGTGGGTCGGGTGGGTTTGGGGTGGGGGTTGTGGGAAGGACCAATAAAAAAGGCGGGTGTTTGAAAAGTAGAGGATATTTGAAAAAGGCATTTTAAGCATGCGCGAAGAGATAAAACAGGAGAAAGAGATAACGAGGTTAGAGCTTCTTGCCTGCTTTCAGCTTCAATGTATTTTTTAACGGTCTGCCCGTGCGAGAACTTCAACACGATGCTAGGAGTCTTCGAGTAGGAGAAGATAGGAACCGCGTCGTACTCCGCTGCCTCGCTTATAACGAGTATGGCAGCCGCTCCCAGCGTGTCTGCCCACATGAGCACCGCGTCATAGCTCCACTCCCTGTGCACCCACTCCGTCACAATGCAGACAAGAAACTTGCCGGCGACTTTCGTTGCATCCACGTATTCCGGGTCACAGGTGGAAGCCTGATGGATGGAAGGGGTGCGGAATTGAATTTCGAGTCGACTTAGAAAGTTGACTTTCCTTTCATCTATGCATTCAATCTTGCCGGTGGATGCCCGGTGGATGAAAGGGGTGCAGAGATGGCAGGCGACTCTGAGTCGTTTGAGAAATTTCTCCTCTGAAAATATGCAAGTTACTCAGATATAGTTGATATGAAACCCCAGCTGTGAACCCCAGCTGTGAACCCACGAGTGTGAAGCTCACCTTGCGCCATACCCCTCTGGAATTTGATGCATTCTCAGCAAGCAACAAGTGGTCGTACTGATTCAACTAGCAACAAGGTGCAGCGCTGACTAAGCAAGCATGTAAACCAGAGAAGGAGCTCACCGCGCCCGTGGCTTCGGGAGGGGACGCAGCAGACCCGGCGAGCATGAGCGGCAGAGGTGACGCCGTGGCAGTGGTGCCGCCGAGGCTGTATCCTGTGAAGGTGGTTCCATCGCCCAAGGTGAACTCAGCCGTGTACTTTCGACCGATGGTGCTGAGGGGAGGGGCAGTGGTGGGGGGGAGGGGGGAAGCGGGAGTCTGAGGGGCAGCGCTGATGTCGTGGCAGTTGTGCCACCGTGACTGCGCCGTGTGAAGGTGGTTCCATCGCCCAAGGTGAGCACAGCCGAGTACTTTCGGCCAATGGTGCTGCGGTGGGGAACGCAGTGGTTAAGGGAATGGGAAGAGGGGGAGGGCGGAGTGGGGAGGGGGGCGGAAAGGGTGGGGGGTGTTGAAGAGTGGGGTTGAGGGGAAGGGAGACGAGGAGTGGGAAGTTCTTCCTGCCTCATAGTGCTGCTGTGGAAACAAGAAGACTTTTGAAGATTGTTCGACCCCATCGAGCTGATCTTGGTACTCCTGCCTGAATACCTTTGAGCCGACTCACACGTCGCCTTATTAAACCCAACTGTTATCCCATCCCCATACTCCCTCCTGATGCAAGGAGCCTGGATTACACTGGCTATCGTGGCTGGGAACTTGGAAGGAAGAGACTTTTTTCCGAGCCATTCCCCCGAGCCGTTCCCCCGAGCCATTCCCCCGAGCCATTCCCCCGAGTCATTCCCCATGGGTGCCCCCCATATCCTTTTGGGATCGAGCCACCACTCCTTCCTTGCTATAATCACATTCCATATATCACTTGCAACACAACCCCCATCCCTTTCCCCCCCCACTCCAGCCGTACCTTGCTCCCACTGTGAGGTAGAAGGGAGAGGCATTCGAGAGAGTGCCCCATATGCTCATGGGGTTGGGGCGGCCCTCGTTGCCGGCTGCAAAGGCCGTGACCACTCCGGCCTGGAGGATGGAAAGGTGAGAATGGGAGGTTGGGGATAGACAGGATGCAATTGGGAAGGGTGGGAATGGGAAAGGTGGGAATGGGCAGGGTGAGAAGGGAAAAAGGAAGAAGCACTCGAGGAAGTACCCAACATGCTCATGGGGTTGGGGCGACCCAAATTGCCGGCCGCAAAGGTTGAGACCACTCCGGCCTGAAATCTGGACAGGTGAGGATGGGAAGGGTGAGGATGGGAAGGGTGAGGATGGGAAGGGTGAGGATGGGAAGGGTGAGGATGGGAAGGGTGAGGATGGGAAGGGTGAGGATGGGAAGGGTGAGGAGGTGGAGCTGGTCGAGGTGGTACCCAGCAGCGTAGCGGCGGTGGTGGTGGCCAGCGCTCGCAGCGGCAGCAGCAGCAGCGCTCGCAGCGGCAGCAGCAGCAGCGCTCGCGGGACATCCCTCCGCCTCAGCAGCTTCGTGAGTGGTACGCTGGGCGTCAGAGGGGTGGGGGTACTGGTCCCTGCACCTACGTTCTTCGTTCCGGCGACCGCGCGGGTGAGCAGTGTGGGGGTGCCCACGCCACCCAGCGCTGCTTTGGCCGCGTGACGGACGCTTGGCGTCAGCAGTTCCCTGGGGCTAGTGAGATCCCTCGCTGGGATGAGCTTCTAAGGGCTGGTGTAGCGATCTTTGATCTTGATTTTGATGCTATCCTTGCTGCTATGTATGCTGTGGATTATAGTGAGGAGAATGAGGGTTACCGGTGTTTCCAGCCCGACCCGGGCATTGGTACTGCTGCGCTAGGTGCTTGTGAGGCTGCTGCTCTAGGTGCCAGTGCGTCTGTGCTCTCAGGTACTGGTGAGACTGCGCTCTCAGGTACTGCGTCGTCCTCGTCCTCCCTCACTTTCACACTTGACTCCGGGGCTTCTCGCTCCTTCTTTCGAGACCGCACTACCCTTACGCCGCTCGGCCGACCGGTTGCGGTCTCCCTTGCTGACCCCTTTGGGGGTCCTGTCCTGTCTCACTTCTCCACTGTCCTCCCGTGTCCGGCTGCCCCTTCGGGCACCCTGTCTGGTCTGTACCTTCCCTTGTTCTCTACGAACTTGGTGAGTGGAGCGGACCTGCAGGATGTGGGGGTTCACCAGTTCACTCCTGCGAGTCAGCGGGTGACCCACTGCACGGACGCACGCACAGGCCGACACCTGGCCACGTTCTCGCGTCGGCCGGGGTCGAGTCTCTACACCCTGACCGTTGAGTCTCCTCCTGTCCCTACGTCTGGCCAGGTGGCTGCGTCGGGTCAGGTGCTTGCTGCTGCGTCCCGGTCAGGTCCTGAGTCTGCCCCCTGTTCTTGTCGCCTCCTGTCTCACGAGACTCTCCTGTGGCACCACCGTCTTGGCCACCCCTCCTTGCCCCGTCTTCGGAGCATGGCTTCCCGTGTCCTTGTCTCTGGCCTTCCCCAGTCTCTCCCTCCTCTCCCCTCCGGGCCAGGACCTTCCTGTGTCCCCTGTGTCGAGGGTCGCCTCCGGGCTACTCCTCACTCCTCCCACTTCCCCCCGACAGAGGCTCCCCTGCAGACGCTTCACATGGATGTGTGGGGCCCAGCCCCCGTCCGTGGGCAGGGTTACGAGCGCTACTTCCTGTTGGTGGTTGACGACTACTCGCGTTACACCACAGTCCTCCCCTTGCGCAGCAAGGGTGCGGTCACTGAGGTGCTGATCGACTGGATCCGCGAGGCTCGTCTCCAGCTCAGGAAGAGCTTCGGCTCGGACTTTCCTGTTCTGCGTCTGCACTCGGACAGAGGCGGAGAGTTCTCTTCTCGCCTTCTGCGGGACTACTGTCGTGCACGGGGGATCCGCCAGACCTTCACGCTTCCGGACTCACCACAGCAAAATGGGATTGCTGAGCGCCGCATTGGCATGGTCATGGATGTCGCTCGTACGTCCATGATGCATGCGGCTGCCCCCCATTTTCTGTGGCCGTTTGCTGTGAGGTACGCGGCGCATCAGCTCAACCTTCACCCCCGGGTCTCTCGACCTGCGATGTCCCCAGCCTTTCTGTGGACGGGGAAGGTTGGCGATGCGTCTGTGTTCCGTGTCTGGGGATCTCGGGCGTTTGTCCGCGACTTGTCTGCGGACAAGCTGTCCCCTCGTGCTGCTCCCTGTGTCTTCCTTGGCTTCCCCACTGACGCCCCAGGGTGGCAGTTTTACCACCCCTCCTCTCGTCGTGTTCTGTCCTCCCAGGACGTCACGTTCGACGAGTCAGTCCCCTTCTACCGTCTCTTCCCCTACCGCACTCCTTCCCTCCCCCCTCCCCCGGACTTCCTTGTGCCGGTTCCCCCCCCGGTAGACCCCCTCCCCCCTCAGGTTCCTGCCCCCTCAGGTGTGTCCCAGGTAGACGCCGTTGACCCGGTCGAGGTTACTGGTGACTCTGGTGCTGCTGCGGGTGCTGAGCCTGGGGGTGCTGACTCTGGGGGTGCTGTGCGCGGGGGTGCTGAGCCTGGGGGTGCTACTGCTGGGGGTGCTGGGCCTGAGGGTGCTACTGCGGAGGGTGCGGAGCCTGGGGGTGCTGAGCCGGGGGGTGCTGTGCCTGGAGGTGCTGGGTCTGGGGGTGCTGGGTCGGGAGCTGCTGAGCCTGGGGGTGCTGTGCTGGGAGCTGCTGGGCCTGGGGGTGCTGCGTCTGGAGCTGCTGAGCCTGGGGTTTCTCCTGCTGCTGCGTCTCGCCGGGAGCCCCTCTCTCCACAGGAGCTGCGCGAGTGGTTCGCTCGCCGCTGGAGGCGTGCTGCTGCGTCTGGAGGTGCTGCTGGAGCTGGAGCTGGAGCTTCTTCGACCGTCGAGGGTGCGGGTGCTGCCGGTCCCGGAGCTGCTGGACCTGCGGGTCCTCCTGGAGCTGGAGCTGCTGAGGGCGTTGGTGCTGAGCCTACTGCTGTTGGTCCTGCCGCTGGAGGTGTGGGTGGCGCTGGTGCTGTCGCTGAGGGTGGTGGTGCTGTCCCTGCTGAGTCTGGAGCTGCCGCGCGGCCTCGGCCGTACTTCGTTCCGCTCCTGCAGCAGGTTCTTGGTCTTTCTCCTCTAGTAGAGGGTCCACCGCCTGTCCAGTCGCAGTCCCTGCTGGAGCCTTCCTCTCCACTGCCTGCTCCCTCTCCTTACACTGGTCCTACTGGAGGTCTTGCTGAGCGTCGTGAGCCTGCGTCTCGTCCTGCGTCGCCTGTTCGTGCTGCTCGCGCTAGTGGTCGCTGTTCGCGTCAGCGTCCTCCTCCTGTCCCTGGCACGCACCGGATGTCTTTGCGTCCGTCCACTGCTCCTCTGCGTGCCCCTTTGCCTTCTCCCCCTGAGTCCTCTCTTCCTGCGCTTGCCGACCCTGAGTCGGACTCTCTTCGTGCTGCCAGTCCTACTGTCACGCGTCTCCTTGCTACTGTCGTCACTGACCCCTCGTTTGAGTCCACTGCTGCGTCTGCCCTTGTAGCTGAGCTCGTCGACTTTGCTGCTCGCTGTCGTCTCGACTACGCTGCTAGTCTTGTTGCTGAGTCTGCGTCTGTCTGTCCTCCGTCCGTCGGGGGTGAGTGTGCTCTTGGCACGGACGTCCTAGAGGACAGGCAGGAGGAGTTACAGTGTCTAGCGGCTGCTTCACCTCATCTCACGTCTGTACTGCTTGCCCCTGAGGGAGACCCGGATGCACTTGACATCCCGACTCCGCGTTCTTACGCGGAGGCCGTAGAGGGTCACTACTCCTCTCAGTGGCAGGCAGCTATGGATGCAGAGATGGCTTCCTGGAAGTCCACAGGCACCTACGTTGACGCGGTTCCCCCTCCTGGGGCGAACATCGTCAGTGGCATGTGGATCTTCAGGGTGAAGCGGCCGCCGGGCTCTCCACCTGTCTTCAAGGCACGGTACGTTGCTCGTGGCTTCAGTCAGCGGCAGGGAGTTGACTACTTTCAGACCTTCTCTCCCACCCCGAAGATGACTACTCTTCGGGTGCTGCTGCACATAGCCGCTCAGCGCGACTACGAGCTTCACTCTCTTGACTTCAGCACTGCGTTCTTGCAGGGTAGCCTGCACGAGGAGATCTGGCTTCGCCGTCCACCTGGCTTCACTGGGACTTTCCCTCCTGGCACCCAGTGGAGCCTCCGACGGCCAGTCTACGGTCTCCGCCAGGCACCGCGTGAGTGGCACGACACACTGAGGACTACGCTTGCGGCTCTTGGGTTTGCTCCTTCTACTGCTGACCCGTCGCTGTTTCTTCGCACCGACACTTCCCTGCCGCCGTTCTACATCCTCGTGTACGTCGACGACTTGGTCTTTGCCACAGCGGACACTGCTGGACTCGCCTACGTGAAGTCCGAGCTGCTGAAGAGACACACGTGCACAGACCTGGGTGAACTGCGCAGCTACCTTGGCTTGCAGATCACTCGGGACAGAGCACGCCGCACCATTACCTTGACTCAGTCACACATGGTGCAGCAGGTCCTTCAGCGCTTCGGCTTCACGTACTCCTCGCCTCAGGCCACTCCTCTGTCTACTCGCCACTCGCTCTCAGCTCTGCCTTCGGATGAGTCCGTAGAGTCGAGTGGCCCGTACCCAGAGCTTGTTGGCTGCCTCATGTACCTGATGACCTGCACACGACCTGACCTTGCATACCCTCTTAGCATTCTTGCACGCTATGTTGCTCCTGGGAGACACCGACCAGAGCACATGGCTGCAGCGAAGAGGGTATTGCGCTACCTGTGCAGTACGTCGGGCATGGGGCTAGTGCTTGGAGGGCGGAGTCCAGTGGTCCTTACCGGCCACGCGGACGCTTCTTGGGCTGACGACCAGGCTACGCAGCGGTCGTCACAGGGTTACACCTTTAGCCTTGGTTCCGGCTCTGTCTCATGGCGGTCTACTCGCTCGTCTTCGGTTCTCGGCTCCAGTTGTGAGGCTGAGATCTACGCCGGGGCCATGGCTGCACAGGAGCTTCGCTGGCTCACCTACCTGCTGACTGA